CCCCCCGCCCATTTTTTTTCTTACTCAAAGCCAAGAGTAGAACAGGGTTTCTCAACTTCAACATGAATGACTTTTTGGCCTAGATATCTATGATGGGAGCTGTCCTATGCCCTGTAGATGTTTAGCAGCGTCTCGGCCCTTTATCCACTAGTTGCCAAAAGCACCACACATACACAAATTAGCTACCAAAAATGTCTCCAGGTATTGCTAAATGCCTCTTGAGAACCACTGGAGTAGAGAACTACTCCTCAAAATTCAACGTAACAGAGCCAGGCTATGGAAGCTTATTTCACATTTTACATTTAGAGAAGCAACTATGCTAAGGGGAAGCTACCATTGCTGGGTGCCCTGCAAGAAGCCAGGGCTGCAGGGTTACCTAAAACCATGATGGTAGCCACTCTCTCTCAAAATGTCCTTGCCCTGGGAAGAAAGTAAAAATTAAAACGTGAACAAGTAAATACATACATAGGTCGAAAAAATGCTGGCATCCACCCCAGAGTGACTATCTAGGCCTGCCCTGTCCAGTAGACATCGTACTGAGATGATGAAACTGCTTTCTACTGTGCTGTCCAACACAATGGCCACTAGCTACATGTGGCAATCGAGCATTTGAAAGGTGGCGGTCAGTAAAACAAAGGAACAGAATTTTTTATTTTAACTAAATTGAAGTTGCCACTGGTGGCTAAAGGCTACCAGATTAACAACACAGATCTAGATCCGGCTATCTTTCTTCTTGTTAGTCAACATCAAGACTACGTTCTTAGTAACTAAGTCCAGCTTTTCCCTTTCTGTGGATGATTCCAGCAGCATCTCCCTAGCTTGTAGGGTAGTAAGAACAATACCTGCCCCGGACCACAGCCTGACCAATGCTCTGAAGAATGAATACGCTGGCCTCTTGGTTGTCTTTGGATATGCCATGTGTTCCATTTCTACATTCTTCTTTCATTTGTGGACCACCACAGTCTTCCCCAAAATCCTTCTATAAAAAGCATCTAACAGTATAAGGGACAAACTGGAAAAGGTAGGACTGATAAAAAAGAAAATTATTCATTTTTGTTTGCTTTTTATTACACTCTCTCGCAGGTAGGATGTAATATCCATGAAAGCAGGACACTTTTCTGTTTTTTTACCACTGCATCCCCAGCACCTGAACAAAGACATGTGCCAGGCAGGCTTCAAATCCATTACCAGCAGACCTCAGAGATACTACAGGTTCAATCCCAGACCACAGCAATAAAGCAAATACTGCAATAAAGCGTGTCACAAAATTTTTTGGTTTCTCAGGGCACGTAAGAATTATGTTTACACTATACTGTTTTCTATTCAGTGTGCAATAACATCATATCTAAAACTAACAATGTACACACCTTAATTAAAACATACTTTATTGCTAAAAATGGTAACCATCACCTGAGCTTTCAGTGAGTCAGTGCAGTAATCTTTTGGCTGGAGGAGGATCTTGCCTCAATATTGATGAAAACACAATATCTGCAAAGTGCAATAAAATAAGGTATGCTTGTAATTCATTGAAACCTCGCTATAACCCTGTCTGTTCTCCAGGGCTTCCACATCTGGGCTCTAACGATGTCTGACTTCTTCAGAAGACAGGTGTTCCTGGAACACCAATTTTATCATGTAATGGGAACATGAAAGGTACCATATGGGTTCTTCACGCTTGTGCCTATCCCTTGAATTTATGTATGTGAGAGGGAAAAACGGTGGGTGTTCCCTACTGGGGCAAAGAAAGACTTACAAGGCCCAGAAATTAAAAATCCTAACCTCATCAAAACTTTCGCACAGAATCAAGTCTTAACTCTGCAGGCAAACATTAACAACTATTGTACATAACCTAGCCCCACCCTATCCCATTTTATCTCACTCCTCAACGAAAACTCTCCAAAGTAGTTCAATTCTCAGTTAGTCCTGGAATAAAAATAGCAATTCTTATTTCCAACCCTTATTCACACATATCCCCTCTGCCTCAGAAATCTGAGCACATTTTCCTCCGTAAACCCTCCCCAAAACACCCAGGCTAAATTAATCTCTCCTCTAAACTTAAAAAAAAAAAAAAGAAAAAAACTTGTCTTAAACTACTCACTGTGATCATAACGATAATAAACTCATCACCTGGCAAATGCCACTTACAGCTCCATTCAGGCCATGAGCAACGAGAATGCAAAACACTGAGTCCCTCATTTTTCATCTTTTCCATGCCTAGCACAGGTCTTTACAAAGAATATGCACTTATTGGGAAATAGAATAGTAAACAAAATGAGCAATGGATGGTGTAACTGAAATTACCTTTACATACCCTAATTTAGTCCACCGTATTACCCTAACCAGGAAATACTCAAGGTAGCCGAAGCAATATCAATAGTTTCAGGACAGTGGCTTCACTGCACTTTCAAATTCATTATATTCTTTACTCCTCAAAATAACCCTGTGAAGTATACATACTATCATACCCCGAAGTCAGCTGAGGTATAGAGAAGTAAAGTGATTTTCCTCAAGATCACACAGCTGGAACCAGAGACCAGGCCACTTAGTCCCATGTTCTTTCCAATGTTTTAATTCACCTTTTACCTCCCTCCCCTGTTATCTAAAAGTTAATAACTGAAAGGAGAAAGGAATCAAGTGAGAATCCTTGGCAACAACATATACGTAAATTAATGACTGCACATGAACATTTACCTGAAATAGCTTCTATTTTGTTTTCTTTGATTCACCAAGGGTAATGATTTGCAAGGAAGCATTAAAACCTGGTGATTTTGTTGTACTGTGCAATAAAAATGTCCACCTAGACCTAAAACCAGTGCCTTTCCAGACTGCCAATTTGGGCCTCACCCCCACCCCCACCCTGATGGAAATTATGATCTTAGCTTAAGGCTGTTTCTTATCAAAGGAACAATTAAGGAAGGAAGCAGCCTAAACGAGGACACACTTGACCATCAAAGCCCGCAGGCAGGCGTTGCTAACTAAACGTTATAAACCATCAGTCTTCCCACACCTTATTGTCTCTAGTAACCGAGTCTTAAAACTCCATGTTATTTGTTAGACATTCCAATTTAACACCGAGCCACAAAGAACCTCAGTTCAGGGCGGTCTCAACTCATGAATGGCCACATTGTTGGGTACTCTCCCTGCACAAGTGAAACTCGGAAATGGAAAGACTTGGAGACCGACCCAAACCTGAGCTAACTGCACTGGCAAAGCCAAGAAAAACCAGCAACACACGGAAGGCGACCGCCTCCGCCTCCTCTGCAGACCTTTCATGCTATTCCAGGGCATGCGTGCAGCTCCCGCGTCGGGGGCGCAGGTTTCGGCAGCCGCTTGCTCACTCAGTAAAGATTTTTAACCCGAGGCCTCATCCAAGCCGAGGAGCTGGGGAAGGGGGCATTCTTCCCATTGATGGTAGGTCGGACCGCATTCGCGGCCCAGCCCTAGACCCCCGCCGCACCCCTCCTCCCTGCACTACCCACCACCCCAGCTGGAAGGCACCGCGGCCTCGGGTACCCATCCCCGGCGCTCTAGGGAGGATGCAGGAGGCGGGAGGGAGGCAGCGGCTCCGGAACCAGCTGCAGCGGGAGGCTCCCAGCCTCCTCTGCCCCCACTCACCCAGTTCTGCGCGTTATTGCTCAGCTTGACTTTCTTGCACAGGCTCCCGGGCACCTCCATGGCTGCAGAGTGCGCTCGGCTACCAGGACTCTCAGCGCCGGGACCGCAGGGGGAGGGGACCGGCGGGGGCGGGGCAGGAGGCGGGGTCTCCTGGCGTCGGGGCCGGCGCGCGCAGACGTACGAACGCGCTCGTGCTCGACTCAGATTGCGGCCGCGTCAGGCGGGCCTCCTACGTGGGTCCAGGGCAGAGGTGTGTGGGGCGGGACTAAGCGGCGGGCAAGAATCAGAGGACGAGCTGAGGGCGGGGCTTCGAGCGCGCACGACACTCCTTCTTAATTCTGAGGAAGAGACACCGCCTGGGAAGATAATCGTGGAACTGAGGCCCGGTCAGACGCTTGTGCTGCGCATGCGTGGAGGCTGGGCTGGAGTCCCAAGCGCCGGCTTCTTCCTGAAGGGCAAGGAAGCTGACTGGCATCTGGCTCTTCGCGCCAATACAAGTGAGGACAAGATATTAACGTGAACTCTCGCCCTTCTGGTTTTTCCTTCATAAACCCGGCCACCAGCCTGGTGTCGGCCTAATCTGTGCCCATGTTAGCCTGGTCACATTTAAAAATGGGTTTTCTCCATCCTTGCAAAGGGAAGAATTGATTTACAGAACAACTGTTTTTCCACACGCTCTTCGTCGTCGTTTTAAAATTCTCAACGCGTAATTTGAAAAAAACAGTGCCCCACCTCTGAACATCAGTGACTAATACATTCGCTGAGTTTAGTGCTTATTTGCAAAGTGCCCCTTTCCCCGCATTATAATGGAGAAAATAAAACAAGCATTGCTAAGAAAGTCACTGAAAATAGACGACTATTAAGGAAGTTGGGCCTATGCACATCTTGTCCCTCAGTTCTCAGAGCTACTATTAAGTCACTTTGAATATGTCGTTCCAGTTTGGTCTGCAAAGTTTCTGTTGAGAAATTAGCTGATAGTCTTATGGGAGCGCTCTTGTAAGTAACTAACTGCTTTTCTCTTGCTGCTTCTACGATTCTCATTTTGTCTTTAAACATTGGCATTTAATTTTTTTTTTTAAGATTTTATTGGAGAATTGGGGGAGGGGAACAGCCAAGTTGCTGTCCTTTTGTTCTTCAGTCTAGTTGTGGAGGACGTCGCTTCACTGGCCGATGTTGGTATTATCGGTGCGCTCTTCCTGGGAGAGGCAGTTGCTCACCAGCCATTGGACAGCTGCTCACGATGGCTCATGAAATCTCACGCCCTCTGCCGGCCTGTGCCAATGTAGCCTACTCTGTCGCCAGCGACTCATGGCAGCCCAGCTCCAGGTCGAGCTGTTGTTCACCATCTTAGCTGTAGAGGGCGCAGCATCATTGGCTCTAATGTGGGATCCGAACTGGGGCCCTGCTGCTCAGAGCTGGTGTCCCAAGCCATCTCTTAACCAATGCGCCATTCAGCTAGCCCAGCATTTTATTTTTTAATTGGGTAATTGGGGGAGGGGAACAATGTTGGGGAATTGGGCAGGGGGATCAGCCAAGTTGTTGTTCTTCAATCTTAGCTGAGCCATCCTGCCACCTGTTAGCAGCTCAATGGCAGCTCAGCAGCAGCTCGGCTCGGGCGCAGAGTCACTGGCCCATGTGTGGGAATCGAACTGGCGGCCCTGTTGCTCAGAGCTCGCGCTCTTAAGCTAACCCTTAACCAACTGAGCCACTTGGACAGCCCCTAAACTTTGGCATTTTAATTACGACGTGTCTTGGTTGTGGGCCTGTTTGGGTTCATCTTGTTTGGGACTCTGCTTCCTAGGCTTTTGTGTCTCTTCACCAGGTTAGGGAAGTTTTCTGTCATTATTTCTTCAAGTAGGGTTTCAATGCCTTGCTCTCTCTCTCTTTTTCTTTTGGTATCCCTATGATGTTAATGTTGGTATGCTTGATATTGTCCCAGAGGCCACTTAAACACTCTTCATTTTTTTGGATTCTTCTTTCTTTTTACTGTTCTGATTGGGTGTTTTCTGCTGCCTTATCTTCCAAATTGCTGATTCGATCCTTTGCTTCGTGTAATCTGTTGCTTTTTTCTAATGTATTCTTCATTTCAGCTATTGTATTCTTCATTTCTGACTGATTCTTTTTTATGTTTTCTATCTCTTTGTCAAAGTTCTGACTGAGATTATTGAGCATCCGTATAACCAGTGTTTGTTTTTGTTTTGTTTTGTTTTTTAAAGAATTTTCTTAATTGGGGAATTGGAGGAGGGGGACAGCGTTGGGGAATTTGGGAAGAGGAACAGACAAGTTGCTGTCCTTTTGGTCTTCAGTCTAGTTGTGGAGGATGTGGCTTCACTGGCCCATGTTGGTATTGTCATTGTGCTCTTCCCGGGTGAGCAGTTGCTCGCTGGCCATTCCATGGCCGCTCATGGCAACTCACGGCAGCTTATGAAAGCACATGCTGCTGGCCAGCCCCACTGCAGCCTACGCTGTTGCCTGCGACTCATGGCAGCCAAGCTCCAGGTTGAGCTGTTGTTCACCATCTTAGCTGTAGAGGTCACAGTGTCACTGGCCCACATGTGGGATTCAAACCGGGGCCCTGCTCATCAGAGCTGGTGCTCCCAAGCCAACTCCTAACCAACGCACCACTCAGCTGGCCTATAACCAATGTTTTGAGTTCTGCATTTGGTAGATTTCTTGTCTCCATTTTGTTTAGTTCTTTTTCTGGAGCTTTGTTCTTTCCTTTGGGATATGTTTTTTTGTCTCCCCAGTTTGGCTGCCTCCCTGTGTTTGTTTGTATGTATTAGGTAGAGCTGCTATGTCTCCTGGTCTTGCTGGAGTGGCCTTAGTAAATATCTTGTGGGGCTCAGTGGCACAGTCTCCCTGGTCACCTGAGCTGGGTGACCCAGGTGTGTCCCTTATGTAGGTTATATTGTCCTCCTGTTGTAGATGAGTCTTCGTTGCTGTTTGCATCTCGATAGGAGGGACTGACCCTTGGGCTGATTGGTTGTGAAAGCTGGCCATGACTACAGTGGAGTAGCTGTTGTGCAGGGGCTCACCCTATGGAGCATAATTAATTTTAACAAGGCTCTGTTGCCTGCCCAGTCTGCCCTGTGGGTATGTTGTCCTGAAAAGTGGTTGGGTGGTGCTCTGGTTAGATCCAAAGCTGGTCCCCAGGCATGCTGGCTCTGTAGCCTCCTGGAAGGAGCCCCAGTGCAGGCTAAGTTCAGTCACAACCTGTGCCCTGCCCAGGTCCACCTGGCATGCATTACAAAACAATCCACAGAAGGCCACCACTCACGCTGGACTGGAGGGTGCCTGGGAATGACTAAGCCTTGAACCGAGACCAGCTGCTGCCAATGGTGGGCTTGAGGTGACTCAGCAAGAGGTACAGGCACACCAAGGCCAGAAGCTGCTTATTTGGAGTTTGTGAACTTTTGAGAGATTTTAGGAAAGTCCGCAGCAGGAGCCAATACAGGTCCTTTGTATGGAAAAGCCAAGGAAATAGCTTGGGGTGGGCCCGAAAGTTGGTGGGGCGTGTTCTCAGGGAATCACCAGGGTGGGACTAGGTTGATGAAGACTCAGATATGGTGGCCACCTGCATCTGCATGCCAGCAATGGGGGAAGGCTGAACCAAGAAACAATGGCTTCTGCCAGCACGTATGTCTGGGAGAAAGCTGCCCCTTCAGCCCTTGGTTTGAATCCCGACAATTCAGTTCCTCACCCACATGTCTCTGGTATCTTTCAAGCTGCTGCTCCACAGCAAGTGAGTCCATCAGCAAGTCAGTCCATGCATGGGCCCTTTAAGAGGAATGCCTGGGACTCCAGCTACCCTTCATCTCACTCGGGTACAATCTCTGCTGGTTTTCACAGCCAGAAGTTATGGAGACTTCTCTTCCCAGCACTGGAACTCTGGGCTGGGGAACCTGGTGTTGGGCTGGGGACCTCTGTAGTCGAGATATGCCCTTTGGTTTTTAACTGCCACACACAAGTGTGGGACCAGCCATTACATGTCTCCACCCCTCCTACCTGTCTTGATGTGGCTTCTTCTGTGTATTCTTAGTTGCAGGACTTCTGTTCAGGTAGCATTCAAAACATTCTCAATGATGGTTGTTCTGTAGTTTAGCTGTAATTTTGATATGGTTGTGAGAGAAGGCAAGCACAGTATTTACCTACTCTGCCGTCTTGACTGGAAATCCCTCTAAAGGATTCTTAACCAGGGGTCTTTATATAGAATGGAATCTCAGTATAATTATAAATTCTGCCAATAACAGGAATGAGCTAGGAAGAGGATTCTAAACTTCAGATGAAAACATAGCACCACATTTGGAGTCAGCCATTTCTCAAAAGAGTCCTTGTTCTTTTAGAGGGAAATGGTATTCAGATATTAAAATCTAGACTCTAGGAATGCTGATTGCTTATGAGTTGGTTCATATATCTGGCTTTTTTAGTGAAAAGCTATTTTTTAAGGTAAATGATATAAATTTACATTGATACTATCAGTTGAAATTCATGATTCCAGGCATGGGTCATGCAAATGAGCCTGAAACAACTTGTCAAACCAGAAACAAGGCAACTATCAAAAAGTACTAGGATTATGTCAAAAGGACTCAGGAGCCAACTTGAAGAAACTTTCCCATGTCAAAGCTGGCATAATTAGAACACTGTGGGGCAATAACAGATATTAAATCAAATCAAATGTTTAAATCTAGGTTTTCATAATAATGGTAATCTAAAAAGAACTCATTCTTACCCTTGGAGTATTTTAGTGAACCAACTTACTATTTCGAAAACTAGTAAAGGGAAATGATTAAGCACTTACTCTGCACTAACTATATGTCATGTAATGAAAAAGTTGATGAGGGGAAGTTTCTCTGTGTAGAAGTACAGTTAAAATAAAGAAGGAAAGATAGAATTATAATATCACCATTATACACCTTCTAATGAAATATTGGATAAAAACAATGATCCTCAATGGCTGCTAATATAAAAATAAAGAACATCAGAACTTTTTTTGCCTCCTGATGGAGTCCTTGGATTCTTGATATTAAAGCCTTGCTTTTTTTGGTGTAATAATAGCATTGTTATTATACATTTTAAAGGAATAAATTTAGAGATATATACTAAAAGATTTATCAATGGT